GTATCTCTATATTTTTTTTATATTTCGGTTTCAATTTTTTCTTTTCAAGAATAATAGAAATAATCATGTCATCCCGTGTATATATGTACATTTTGATCAGTACACAATTTCAGTTATCTTCAAGCATGAATTTATTTTTGACAATACTTTCTAAAATCCACATCCATAAATAACAACAAAACTATATATAGGGCATTAAACAAAAATCCTGGAAATCTGGTGTCTAGAAAGTGAGCCCTAAATAATAATATATTGATCAGGTGGGCAGAACATCCTATCTAGTCAAATTCAGTATAAAAATTAACAAAATTAAAAGCCTAAAAATTAGAATGAAACACATCGGTCAAAATAAATCCAATGATAGGTTATATTTGTGAAAAGATCAATAAAGCGACCATAACATGTAAGTAATGCTGACTTTAAACAAGGTTGGTGAACTTATAGATCTGTCAGTGCCTCGGCCTAAAAATCGATCGTTTTTGGAGCATTTAAGGAATGAATTTAATAGCTACCCATTTTATACGGTATAAACTGGGTTGGGGCAGTTTACGCTTTATAAATAAACCGCGAAGCGGTTTATAAAAAAGCGTAAACTGTTCCAACCCAGTTTATACCGTATAAAATGGGTAGCTATTAAATTCATTGCTTATAATTTAATTTTCATTCATTTGATGTAAGAAAAAAAGATGATTGTTCTAACAAAATGACTTCAATTTATACAACATTTGAATGTAACGTCAGGCGGATTGACACGTTCATGACGAACGTCATATTGTGACGTAGGCAACCCATTTTATACGATATAAAGTAAATTTTTTATCCAATCAAATACAGCATGACAACCAGAATTAAATTATAACCTTGAGAATGAGAAACCGAGAGAGAGAGAGAGAAAGAGAGAGAGATCCTAACGTTTTTCTCGGAGGCGGGGGTATGGTGTCAAAACCCTCTGAAATATTGAGACAAAAAACATAAACAAAATAAATAAACGAAAGGCAATAACCAAACAAGCAAACAAAAAATGGAAAGGGAAACTAGCCAATTTTGAAAATCAAACCATGTTTTTCTTATTGGATGGAAGGGCTGCTTCAAAAATTCCTCACAAACTATCCCGTGTTTCCCCGTTTTGTGTGTGTGTGGGGGGGGGGGTTCAATATTATATTTTGGCTTCTTTATTATAAAAATTAAATAACGCTGAAAGTCAGGGTTGTGTATCTTATGCAAACATTTTTTGATTAAAAACTTTTTTTCAAGTATATATGGAACTAATCCCAAAAAGGGGAGATCACCCCCTTTTACATCCTCTACTTAACAAAACTAGAGGTACTGTGAACAATGAGCTCACTAAATGATACCCCCAGCCTCCCATATGAATATAATGGCAGTGTCCATGTTTTGCTCTGGAAAATCAAAAATATACGTCAGATCAAAAAGTAAAATAGGAGGTGCACAATGGCAATATGTAATTAAGAATCTGTGAAAGTTTCATTAAATTTCCTTCAGTGGTATGAGAGGAGTTGCGGATAAGAGATGGGTACCCCAAAGCGTAACAGACGGACGGACGGACAGAAATACCAATTACTATATACCCTCCCACTTTTCAAGCGGGGGGTATAATAAATATGTATTAATTTTGAGGTTCGTTCTTGAACTCTCTGATTAAGTATGCAAAAAAGATCACTAAACCTTTAATTTTGAAAAAAAAAAATCCGTTTTCAAGTTAGACATCATAAGTTATTAATGTTGTGAATAACTAAATAAGCGTTAAAACGTACATGCGTCATGCGTTAAACTCACATCATTGTACCCCCCGCTTGAAAAGTGGGAGGGTATATAGTAATCGGTATGTCCGTCCGTCCGTTACGCTTTGGGGTACCCATCTCTTATCCGCAACTCCTCTCATACAACTGAAGGAAATTTAATGAAACTTTCACAGAATCTTCATTACATATATTGCCATTGTGCACCTCCTATTTTACTTTTTGATCTGACATATATTTTGGACTTTCCAGAGCAAAACATGGTCACTGCCATTATATTCATATGGAAGGCGGGGGGTATCATTTAGTGAGCTCATTGCTCACATGCAGTACCTCTAGTTTACTAACTACTGATATTAGGAATTTTAAAATTGAAATAAATGAAGTGTTGTTAGCCAAAAAAATATAAATAAACAAATTTATGGACTAAATTGTATATTGTGTAACTATGTTTACTAATATTTAGGATTTACATATACAAAGTACTTCCTTTTTAAAAAAATATTACACGAAATATTGCGATTTTAAACAATTTGTAATTTTAAAATCTAAGATATTTTTTTTTATTTTTTTACTTTAAGAATATAACTGAATTACTGAATTAAGTGTGCATTGATTACATTGGTGTTGAAAATTGAAATTGCGCGGGGGGGGGGCTAATTGAAAAAGAAAGGAAAATTCAAATCTGGAAAAAAATGGACAAGGGGACAAGAAAAAAAAATTGTTCATTGTCTAAACTAGTAGTCCAAACCCGAAAGCAGCAGGGAGGGGGGGGGGGGGGGACTAAACCAATTTCACATTGTTCAATGCCTATATTATGTCTATCTTTGCAAAAAATTGGTAAGCATCCATAGCCCCCATCCCCCGTTCCCGACGCCTATGGATTAAATCACAGTTGGAAAAACCAAGTCATAAATATGTGCTTTTATGCTGTTGAATTTTGAACCGGTTTCAAGATCAATATTCCACGATTCGGCTCAGTTTTCAACGGACTAGGGTCTAAATTCAACACCTTTGGTCTCACTATTCAACGTTGAAAAATGACCCCCGGGTCAATTTTCAACCTGGGTCAAAATTCAACGTTACACCGGCGAAGAGCTACAAATATTGTCCACTCGCGGCTCCCTGGGCAATTGAGCAGCGAGGGATCTTTTGCGTGCCCGAACTACTCCGACACGGGACCTCGGTTTATACTGTCTCATCCGAAAGACGGGTCTCCACGTCCGACTCTAGAGCAGACTGTCTAACCACTGCTCCACGTGGGCGACATTATTGTTTAAAAAAAAAAAACTTACAAAAGGGTACATCTCATTATGATCCAGTTGAAGAAGTATGCTGCAAATAATATTATACACATATTTAGTTTCATAAAAAGATGCAGACAGTGGACATGTGCATAATATCTAACACATAGCCAAGGATATCTTTATAGACTAATGCCCTGTTCACACGACGAGTTTAATTCGCAGTAAATTAATGCGAAGTAAACTAATGCGAATTAAAATAATGCGAATTTATGCCCTGTTCACACGACGAGTTTAATTCGCAGTAAATTAATGCGAAGTAAACTAATGCGAATCAAACTAATGCGAATTAAATTACGTTCACACGACAGCTAATGCGAAGTAAACTAATGCTAATTAAAATTCTACTTCTACGGCTAGGAGTCAGTAAAGCTATTATGACGTCATTTGCAAATCACGTCACCTTATGCAGTCCTGAGCAGATGCATTTGGCATAATGTTACAGTGTCTGTACACATATTTTAGTGATTAACACAATTTTCCTTAGTTGTTCACTCAAAAATAGCACAAATACTTCAATTTGACCACGGACATGTGGCATTTGACCTAATTTTGCCATTATGCATGCTTCAAAATTTAATTCGAATTAGCTTCACTTAGCGTTCACACGGAGCTAATGTGAAGTAATTTAATGCGCAGTAAACTAATTCGAATTAAACTAATTCGCATTAAATTCTCCGTGTGAACGCTAAGCGAAGCTAATTCGCAATAACTTTAAGTTTAATTCGTGCCCTGTTCACACGGAGAGTTTAATTCGAATTAAACTTAAAGTTATTGCGAATTAGCTTCGCTTAGCGTTCACACGGAGAATTTAATGCGAATTAGTTTACTGCGCATTAAATTACTTCACATTAGCTCCGTGTGAACGCTAAGTGAAGCTAATTCGTATTAAATTTTGAAGCATGCGTAATGGCAAAATTAGGTCAAATGCCACATGTCCGTGGTCAAATTGAAGTATTTGTGCTATTTTTGAGTGAACAACTAAGGAAAATTGTGTTAATCACTAAAATATGTGTACAGACACTGTAACATTATGCCAAATGCATCTGCTCCTGCATAAGGTGACGTGATTTGCAAATGACGTCATAATAGCTTTACTGACTCCTAGCCGTAGAAGTAGAATTTTAATTCGCATTAGTTTACTTCGCATTAGCTGTCGTGTGAACGCAATTTAATTCGCATTAGTTTGATTCGCATTAGTTTACTTCGCATTAATTTACTGCGAATTAAACTCGTCGTGTGAACAGGGCATAAATTGCGTTCACACGACAGCTAATGCGAAGTAAACTAATGCGAATTAAAATTCTACTTCTACGGCCAGGCGTCAGTAAGTCTATTATGACGTCATTTGCAAATCACGTCACCTTATGCAGGAGCAGATGCATTTGACATAATGTTACAGTGTCTGTACACACATTTTAGTGTTTTACACAATTTTCCTTAGTTTTTCACTCAAAAATAGCACAAATACTTCAAGCTGACCACGGACATGTGGCATTTGACCTAATTTTGCCCTTACGCATGCCTCAAAATTTAATTCGAATTAGCTTCGCTTAGCGTTCACACGGAGCTAATGCGAAGCAATGTAATGCGCAGTAAACTAATTCGAATTAAACTAATTCGCATTAAATTCTCCGTGTGAACGCTAAGCGAAGCAAATTCGCATTAACTTTACGTTTAATTCGAATTAAATTCTCCGTGCGAACAGGGCATAAGTTCGACAACTCTGGGTTTAACTGATTGCCAACCCGTAAAGGGGTTTTTAAAAGGGGTATTGTTCTACAATTATTTTGAGATTTTGACAGGTCTGTTCTCGAAACTATAAAGTTTCATTTTATTGGAGACGATTATAGAAAATAAGTTTTTGATACCAGTTATTCCGGATTATTTGTGTTCCTTGCATTCGTTTTCCAATTTAGTTGATTCCTACTTTCACTTTCATATTGACATGAAGGCGGATTTTTCGAAAGGACATTCATCATTGTAACTTTTGTATAATAGAGTACCATGTTATTTCTTGAATTGTTGAGCGGTTATTCAAATGGAGCATTTATTTACAGTTGACGGAAGACTGTGTCAATGTTCGATCGAGCGATCCACGTCAAATCACAAACATTGTTGTCTTAAAGTGTGTGTTTATGGATTCTGTCAGAGTCGTAAACTTTTTATGAAATACCATGAATTTTCTATCGACTTAAAACAAGATATTTTTAAAATCGTAGACATTGAAGTAAAACTTGACATTTTAACAGGGTTTAATAAGATACTGTTATATACTATAACAAAAGCCAATGCTGGATTTGTACATGTGTTTCAACTTGAAAGAAATTTTAGATCATTTCGTGTAGTTGCTAAATTCGGAACACTGTCCACACCAAGACTAAAGAATGTTTACTTCATTGATGGCCCGGGCATTATACAAAACAGCTGTAAGAAGGCTATTCTCCATAGAGGTTATAATAACCAAAAGGAGTCCATCTTTCTGGAGAATGCGTCTATGAAAAATATTCTTTGGTCTGGATATTGTGAGGATTTAGACAGTGTGGTTGTAATTTCTTACATCTCAAGGAATGAAAAAACAGAACTCTTCACTTTATTTCTTGATGTTTTTTCTGATGAGTGCAAAACAGTGGATTCCAGCTTTTTAATACCTGAGGAGTTTAAAAACTTAGTTGCAGTTAATGTTTTAAACTTATCCAGAGTGACTGATCCTGAAAGGACTGCTTATCATTCAGATATCATTACATTAACAACTGATGGATTTTTCATTTATTTACAACATGGAAGGATTCTCTGGGCTTTGCCTACATCAATATCATACACAGAGTGTACAGTTTTATTTTCATGGCATGCATACTCGTTGAATACTCAGTTTGCTGCTGTTCACAACAATGATGTTGTAACATTCATCGACACAAAGGAAAGGAAGGTAACTCTTCTATCTTCTAGTCTTTATTCATTAAATGTTGTGGGAAAACGTTAGAAACTGGAAAATCATAACCATTATGATTGAATGTACTCGTATCACTGTGTATATCAAATTTTGTTTCAATATACAGTGGCGTGCCAAAAGTGAAAATAATTTTATTTTTTCTCTATATATTTCATTGAAAACAACATTTTGTAAAATCATAGGTAAATGGTCAATTTTTGTCCAATTTAATTATTTATTTCAGTACTTAAACCAGAAAATGTGAAGTTATCTTTCTTTAAAAGATCATTACACGTTTAATATGTAGTAAAATATAGTTCATCACTAAACATCAGTTCTAAAATTCAAGATCAATGTTGACTATATAATTCATTGTGAGTATATGACTTAAAAATTCATGTCACACTTAAATTACAATATTTTTAAATTATCAATGCTTATCAAATAAAAACTATTGGTTTTTTTTTAACTACAACAATTTCTTGGATTATCAAGAAATTTTTGATAAAATCTGTCAAGAAGTGTTGTCATATCAGCGATTTTACAATATATTGTTTTCAATGAAATATATAAAGAAAAAATAAATTATCTTGACTTTTGGCACACAACTGTACATACTTCTAATCTATTTATGTTTCTGTTTAGATTGTAGGAACAGTGACTGATGCTGTACAAGTTTACCAGGATGATTTTGTTGGTTGTGGTCAGCCCCAGCTTCTCTGTGGATTCAGTGGATTTTCCCTGACAGAAAACTCAGGTTGGCTTCTCACGGACAAAGGGACCTGGTTGTTGGATCAAAGAACAGTAGAGGAAGTGGTGGACCTTGATGAAAGCCACAAGCCAGCTGTTCTGGCTCTTCAGAAAAGACTTCAGGTAATACACAACATGTACAATGTAAAAGATGAAGATAAAAAACAGTGATCAAGGCCAAAATAAAATTATAGTTTGTTTGGAATTGCCTCCCGCCTCATTAAAATACCCCCCGCTTAAAAAATTTTATTGGCAAAATATTAACAATATTTTTTTTTTATCGTCTTACATTGTTCAGTACAAAATTCGTCGAAATAGCTTTTTAAAGTCAAATATATCGGGTCAATAAAACGCTTTCTTCATAGTATTTATGTTATAGCGATTATAGGTGGCGACTTCACAAAAAAAAAGCCGCCAAAATGTCAGACCATGTTGGAAACATTCAAGCGTTGTGTTGAAGAGTAGAACATTTATGCATCTCTATAAAAATAAAAGGTGAATAAAAAATTAAATGGAATGATACATCAATACCTGGAAAGAGCTATTGTGATAGATTGCACATTGAACTTGATAAGTCAAGTCCGTCATGTTGAAAAAGAAATGATCGTTCAGTTCCCACTTAAAAAAATACACGGATCAGAAACGTTTTATCCCAAATACTAAAGGAAAAATGTTTTCTGTCAGTATGACAAGTCTTTGAAACGTAATGTTAAAACTGATGCATGGTGAAAACTAGAGAACGTACCAAGCACCCCTTCCCGGTTCCACAAAACATCCCAACGATTCCTAAGGTTCAAACTGTTTGCAAGCGTTGTCTTAACAAAAGGGTAAATTTCAAAGAGAAATACTACGAAATGGACTGATAAAAGTATTGTTTAATAAAGATTCTTAAAATAAACTAGAAGTTTGATGCTGAAATTTAACTACATGTATTAATTAAATAAATGAACAGATCTTACCATCTATTAAAATGAGATAACTATTTGAGTGCCGTTCTGTGTATATCTTTTTTTTCAAAATCGGACCAAATAATATTAATAAAATAAAAGAAAGAGGACATGAATAAATGGAAATTACCGCTGTTCATTAAGATTTTATTTCTTTATCATTTATCTTCAATTTTTAAAAAAAAAAAAATAAAACCCCTCCCTCCCTCCTGGGTCTGAAAACCCCCAGGCGGCAATTCCAAACAAACATTTTTTTAAGGATGGCCCAATCTCAAAAAGTGTATAAACAATACAAATATGTGAACCTGTGAAGAGAGCATGAAACACGAACCCCTAGAAATTCCACAGGTAGGATCAGGTGCCTAGGAGGGATGAGTATCCCCTGTCGACCGGTCACACCTACCATCACACCTCTATAAATTGATCAAGGATACATTAATGAGCAATATTTGGTCCTATTCTCAGTATATATATACATTTAGTCAAGTATTCCCTTTTTAATGAATTTCAATATTTAATCTAATACATGTAAAAATTTAAGATAGACAGATGGACAGATAGAGCCAAAACTGTATACCCCCACCCCACCCCCATGTCTTTGTTTATGGGTGCCAGACTCAATTACTTTGACGGAGAAATAAAGTTATTCTCTACAGTACATTACTTAGATAGAAATATTTTGTAATCCTCATCCCAATACTTGAAAAATGTTTTTTATTTCTCATTTACATTTTCAAGTTATCCTGCAATGGCAGAAATGTGTTGTTTTATGAATTATAACCAAAATAACCAATATAACAAAAATTAAGAAAGTCAAACATACACTTCCAGGTAAAGCTAAAATTGTTAAATTATTGCATGTTTGTTTTCAGAATGAACTGATAGCTTTTCATAACAAGTCCCATACTGTCAACACAGAGAGGTCAAAGTTCATCACAGACAACTGGAGGTTACTGCTTCATCTAAATCAAAGTTCTCAAGCAAACACAACAGTACAGGTCTGTGTGTAGGAGTCTAAAAATTTATTTTAAAAACACTTTGTTATAATAAGTTGTTCTTCTTATATATGAACTTAGTTTCCGTTCTAATTTTTTATATACCTTTCATCATGTTCATATTTTTACAGTCAATTTGAGTCAAATCTTACAAATACCATCAACTCTGAATAGGGCTCTTGCTCATTTGTCAGTTTTCTGAATAATTTTGAATATCTATGTATAATATTTTCCTCCCTGATTGGTCAGTGCCCTGCCCTATTTTTAAGTTTTGGAAACCCTTTTCTTCATTTAGTCAAACAATATCCTACAGATTTCTGCAGAAAAAGTTTGGCAAGTTGTAGATGACAAGAAATGGTTGGTGGGTTTAAGCCTTGTCAATAACTCTGATAGGTAAGGGACTGCTGTGTTCTGTTTTAATTGAGCACCAGACTTCTGTATAAATTATTTTTAAATGAAATGGTTGAATGAAGTGCAACATAAAAATCTTGTATTCCAATATCATCAGTCTGTAATTTAATAAATCAGTTATATGGATTAACATAGATCCATCTCATTCCTTTCTTTTTCAAGTTAAAGATGTCATGATTATATGATCATGTTCAAAGAAAACTCGAATTTTTTAAAATTCCTATATTTAGCTCATTGTGTGGCCTCTCACTGTCACTTCTACCCATTGATCAAGATGGTGGTCAGTCAGGAAAAGTTTTACACACCAGAAGCCAGTGGCTGGTGGCCGAGGACCCAGAAAACAGAAGGTCAAAGGTCACAAGGAAAAACATGAATAAGGTCCCCCGATCCACACCACCCCCCTCAGAGCTACAGCCCCTAGAGAGGGGGTTAGTAGTTTGTGAGACAGATCTCCCTAGTTTTGTCTCCAACTCACAGTTTTCATGTGAAATCACTTTAACCTTGACCTGTTGCACAGGGGTTGAAGGATACTTGAGTGATTCAAGACCTTTGTACAAAGTGCAGCATTCTTGTGGAGTCATTACTATTGAAGCACATAAACTAATTAAAGAAGAATATTCTTTGGAAATGTTAACAGAGAAAGAATGTGAAAACGGTATGTTTCATTGATGTAAGACTTTCCATTTCTGTAGTAATTCCTTCTACTGATTTCAAGGATGTACCAAAATTTTCAGTTTTCTTCTCTATTGGCACATGAGAAAGTGTTAGAGTTTGTTTTTTTTATTAAAATTTTATAATAATTTGGTCTCAAAAAAGTCTAAAAAATATGTTGGTTTTTTTTTTTACAATTAATCTGGAAACTATACTTTGCTAGGCAATTGGATAGAGGGAGCTGTGTCATTATTAACCCATGTCACAAGTCATCTGGAATTGAGGACAGTGTGGTCCAATGCTTCATGCTTGGCTGACTGGATGGTGAATCTCTGCCAGTTCCACTACAGTACTGATCAGAACCGCTACAGGTCTACATTAAATGCCTTCTCTGGAGTGAAGCTGATGATCCATCCTCGGTCAACTCATGACAACGCTCTCATCACTGTCTACTCAAAGTAAGCAGTTGTCTCTTTGATGTTGTCATTTTTAAAGAATTAAATTACTGATAGTTATACATGTACATCAAAATTAAAAATAAATTTCATATCATTAGGTAAACTTCAACACTGTAAGAGAGATCTTCAGGGTCTGTTTCCCTCTCTTTAATGTGGTTAGGTTTAAAATCACTATACATAATACTAAGTGCTTTGAACTAATATTTTAAAGTGAAACTTGGTCTGTGTTATCAGATTAAAATTCCATCCAGGCTCAGCTTAATTAAATTAAAAGGAAATATTAATATGTTATAGTGAACTGTACCTTTAGTGCTTTTACAAAAAGAATTTAAATGTAGGTGATAGAATTTTGGAAATTTTAAAAAATTAAAAGGGTGAATTAAATTTAATATCACCGTTAAATCAGCAGTAACGGTCACAAATACCAAATTAGAAGATGGTTATTCCCTAATTTAATATAAGTATGATCAAGGCGATGTGGGATAATTCCAGGATATTTACATGTATTACCAGTACACATTATTTGTTTCTCTGGCTAACCTTTAGTGTAAGGTATCTGTTCCACATTTTTAGAAGACCATGCATGTAGGTGGAGACCGTATGAATGACACACATCAATGAAATGTCATCTTCATAAAATTCACACAATTCTCTCGACATCAAAGAATCGTTAAGTAAAAAAATTACGAGAGCTACAATGTAGGTAATCTTACTGTGAACTGGAGGAGGTTATACCCAGATCATTTAAATGGAGTGCCTGATTACTTGTGTGAATATGTATTTCAACTGATGATCATCAATTCTAAGTTAAATTTCTCATATCAATTTCTTGCATAAAGTGGGTCTGTCTATTATATAGAAAGGATGAAGAGTGGGGCTAGTCATTTACCTGTAAAATTAACAGTATAAACTTCAAAAAAGATATTTTAATCAACTCTTCTTCAAATCATTTTACCTGAAAAAAGAAAATCAAATTTAAACCCAATCTATGTCCCATGTCATGATCTAAACTCTTACTAGATTTAAAATACCTCTCATTTATTCAGCGTCTTCTTAAAACTGATACTTTTGTCCAGTAAATGCACAATGAAAGGATGAACATGTAGGTATATTTTTTATCAGCCGCAGGAGTACTGCTCATGGAGAAAATGTGGCACTTTTATTACTAAAATCAGGTGCAATAAATTTATACAATTGCTCTGCCATTTACACAATTAATGAATATATATATATATATATATATATATATATATATATATATATATATATATATATATATATATATATATATATAATATTGTAATGTATATACTTTGATGTATATATGTACATGTAATATTAATATGAGAAAGAAAACAAAATGAACGTAAAATGATTTTAAGATGATCACTTTTCCATAGGAATGTAAATAAGAAATATTTATATTCCTACAATAGTTGCTTCCTCAGTCTTTTTCACAATAATATATCGGTCATTCTTCGATTGACAATTTTTTTTTCACCAATTACACGTATCTTACGTATTTTATTGTATAAACACTGTACAAATGGTTTGAACACATGTTCTTGTTCTTGTTATCGTCTGTGCAAAGATTTGAATATATCAATGCGACTGTGACTATGTGACCATACATTCTTTTTATGTATCATTGATTTTCAAACTACATGCCATTTCTATTTTCCTGGCAAATTATACATTTTTAACGATTTCATTTTATCATCTGTTTATGTATTAATTTTACTTATTAATATTTGTAGATCAGAAAAACAAATCTTGCTGCTAGTCCGCCATCTTTACGATTGTCTGGCGGATGACATCGCCATTTTTTCTCATCTTAGAGAAGATGATGAAGGACTTCAAAAAGCTATAGAGGCTATCAAGAGGGAAATAGAGTTAATCAAATCTCCACAGGAGGCACCCAAAAAAGGTAGTCGTGCTTTCGTCGCGGAACTTCCGGAATCCGACGACGGTGGCGCTGTTCTAGTGAACAACATCAGGGAAAACTTCCGGAAAAGAAAAGAAGCCACAGAATCTGTAAAAGACGAAGACAGGAAATCAGAACAAGGAGAATACCTGTATCAAGCGCAACAGCATACGGACGAAGCTTTATCAAAATTATTAAATTAGAAATTGTATTTATTTTGAGAGAACTCTGCTATTTGAATAAGTTATGCTTTATTCTTTCCTCGCAGTTTTTTTTTAAAGTGTACGTATTGTGCAAATTAAACAGTTCAAATTAGTTTTCCAGAATATAGTGAGGATAATTCAATCTTGAACATCTTGAACACAATAACTATGATGTTTTTTTTCCTGCAACTTGTAAAATCTCTATACGCTTATTGCATGTTTTCAAAGTCGTTTACATTTAGAATGAAATATTTGGAGATAAGGAACGCTCAAAAGGAGCAAAGCAAACACGTACAGACCTCTAAAACATCAGAGGTGGGATCAGGTACCAAGGAGGAGTGAGAATCCCCTGACGACCGGTCACACCCGCCGTGTGCTCCTACTCATGGTCGGCTGGGAAATGGCAGGAAATTCCTAGCCAATTTAGTATGCATAAATAATGACCTAACATTGAGTATAGAAAACGCCAGTCAAAAGAATTATTGATAGATTGTATTTGCTGACAACACGGACAAGGTCATTGTATTCATAAGTAACCATGGATGTTAGGTAATAATGACTTTTTAACGAGACTTGATATTCTTGTTTCATTGACTTTAATAACTATCATCGTTTTAGAAATTGTTCATACTTTGCGATTTGAGTCAATTGAGAGATATAAGCCCTATATGCAGGTGATAAGTGTAGATTGATGCATAAGTATGTGAAGTGAATTGAAGTTATCACGTTCGTCTTGATATTAAGCTTGGTTGTTAGATTACTGTCAACGTATTTTTCTAGAAAAATATACAAATTATATGCAACAGATGTGTCGCACTGTAGCATATATTTTATTTCGAATCAAGCTCACTTGGGGATATCCTGTTATTAAATTTTTAGCTCTACTGGTCAGAGACCAGAAGAGCTTATGCGATAGTAAGGTGTCCGTCATCCATTCGTCTGTCTAGCTGTCCGTCTGTCTGTAAACAATTTTTCAAAGCGCTAGTCCTCCTACAGTTTTGGTCTGATTTTAATATAACTTGGCACACAAGTAGACTACACTAAGATACATAAAACAGTGCACCAGTTTTTGATTTCGATGAACGGTGTTGCCATGGTTACTAAAAATAGAATTTTCTGTGAAATTCCTTTAAAACGCTACTCCTTCTTCAGTTTTGGTCTGATTTCTATATTACTTGGCACACAAGTAGTCTACACTAAGATACATAAAATAGTGCATCGGATTTTGATTTCGATGAACAGTGTTGCCATTATTACTAAAAATAGAAATATCTGTGAAATTCCTTTAAAACGCTACTCCTTCTACAGTTTTGGATTTCAATATAATGGCACACAATGACTTCATAAAATTCTCATCCTTTGTTATAAAAAAGTACAAACCAGTAGAGCTACAGTCTGATGGCAATGGCTTCTTTTTCACATTTGTTTTAAAGTAGAGCTACAGTCTCGACAGAGACTTTTTTTTTTTTTTTTTTTTTTACAAAAAGTCATTCCATATGAAAGCCAAACTCAAAACATTCATACTTTGGTTAATGCTTTATTTTCTTGAAATTATCTATATGATCTTGCGGTGAAAATACGGACCCACAGCAATTTCCACTCTTTGTGACCATTTTAGACTAATACATTGTTTGTCAACCACTAAGTAGGCTACAAACAATGTATTTTTTTTAATTGATAGATAGGAAAGTAAACTACTAATAATGAGTCATTCATCTCGAGAAAAATTTCTATTATTGTACAACAGCTGGTGGGCAGTGACCGTAAAATTGTTGTGTCAAGTTTGTACGGGGCAACAAAACCAAGAACATTAACGGACAAACGAACAAGTCCCGGCAAACAGAGGAGGGTCGTAATCCTAACTAAACACCACTCAGTGTTTACAAAAACACAACTTTGTGTGTAATTAAACATACATCCCAGATTACACGTAAATGTGAAATGAAAACACGCGCCATAAGTTAGGTATGAGTCCCCATTGTTCAATTTCCGTTGTAGAATTTAAATTGAATAGAACTACATTCCACTGTCGATAATGCGATTATGGTTTTTGTGAAGTGGAGAAAGAGGAAAAACTAAAAGCAGGGTCTCCGTTAAAACAGGAGGATATTTGTCTAAGGCAGTGTGTCTTCATCTTTCGTGTCGTTAGAAGATTTCTCTCTCTTGTCGCCGACTACAGGTGTATCGAGTCGTCTGTGATGACGCGCTCAGGTGAACTGTCGCACAGTGTCCCGTTCATGACTTACGGTCGATAGAACAGGAAGGAGACACATTTAATGGTGGCATAGACTTCTACATATTAACACACGGTGGCATGGCCATTGTGAAGACTTTTCTGTGTTTCTCTAACACCAGGGTAGGAACCCTTATATGTGGATGTTACACCTTGGTAGGTCTTTTAGTTTTTATGTGTGTATTTGTTTGTTTTAGCCATGTTAGCAGACAGGTGACTGGAATGTACATTTTGCCGATCTGTGCCGAGGAAAAAGTGCTGTTTTAACCCCCAGAAATACTATGCAGTGATTTTATAATATGCTATATAGCAGTCTTACATGTATCTTGGTACCTCGCTATTTCTTGTATTATGGATTTGTTTTTGTATTCCCCTACACGAGCTAGCATTTACTCGGTCCTACACGTTTTCTCACGATCTGGAATGTCACCACGGGTGTTCTCGCCAATCTGACTGGCGACTACCGCACAAAGAAAGCGTTTTCAACTCATTTGTTTGACAGTGGATTTTTGTCTACAAGAAAAGTACCAATTTTAAAATTGTCTGAAAACACGACTCAGTTCGGAACACAACAGTAACATGTCGTCAGTTTTAAATTATTTTGTTCGCATTGGTCGCAAGATTTTCCTTTCATTAGTATTTTATCAAAAAGCGTTTTCCCCCTTTCTTTAACTGTTAAACCCTTTACTGTGAGTCACTTGATGGGAATTTTAACGACTGTTTATCTTTGCTTCAGTTTCTGAGATGATGTGAAGTCTTAAAATCCGCACAAATATTGACATTTTATCAAGATGGTGGGCCCTCGTCCTTTCTTTGCGCTTTCGATCATTTTATTGCGAAAAGCAACAGTACGGTTTTACAAACGCAGTGCAATAAATCTTAAGACACGAAAAATTCAATCGGAGACTACAAATAAAGTAAAAGTGTTTTATAGAGTGAATAAAACATGCTGTAGTTTAAATACCATAAAAGTATCGTAAAATTTTATTGCTGCTGCTCTCTCTCTCTATTTCTCTCTCTCTCCCCTAATATCGATTGCACGACAGAGGAATATGAGAAGTTCAGTTAATCAATCAATACAATATGGAAATGATTCAAGAGCATTCAATTGTTTGATATTACCATATCGACTTGTATAATTGTGTATAAAATGCCTGCTGCTCTACGAAGCGTAGCAGGATAACTGATTGAATTTCCATCTATGGGGGAACAATTTCATTATTTCATTTCAATGCTAAGCGAGATAAAACGATAATGCCAAACAGCCCCGCTAAGTGACACATTAACATAATCTGGATGCGACACGGATTAGGAATCCCAAACACACCTTTACCGTGTTTGTTTATTTTTTAGTCATTAGGAGTTACATAATATTTGTGAATTTTCCCCTGAAGGTAGAGAGCGACAGATAGCCCCTATTTACATGTTTTTAGTGACTTTATTAATTAACCATTAAGACTATCAGGACAGGTCATTTATCAACCCAGGTTTACTTGTACCTGATATGGGGTCGTACACCAAGTTGACTATTTGAAATAATTTGCATAATGAATATACATTTCAACAATTTAATTTCCCGAAATTAACGAAGAAATAGTCCTAAGAGCCTTTTGTAAGAAGACTTTTTTTCAAATATTAAAACATTGAGTATTTTTTCTCTTAATACCATAAGGATTACGAGTACATAAATTGCAAGAATTGACACGTGCATACTTTTAGGTGTCGTGTTGCAAGTTTTGAATTTGTGTGTTTTCGATAAACACAAAGTATTTGTAGAATAAATTACAGAAATTGAATTAATTCTGTTTAAAAGATACCTATCTGTGTTTTTATGAAGGAACTGTCATATAATTATCGTGTAATAATAATTGAATTTACTGAGTGTAGGGGGAAGTAAATGCAGAATTGTTGTAGATTTTGCATTTACCACCCCCACCTTGATGTACATGTAAACTTGGATGGGAATATTCCTCTTCTTTAATTTTTTGAATTTGATAATTTTCAGATTAATTCCTTGGTGTGTCTGGTATTTTACCTTTTCCGATATGTTGGCTACCAGCTCATCGAAGACTCCCAAGGTTTGTACTCAAAACATGTTCTGGAACAAAATTACATTTCTTTTATTCAAATTCCTTTTTGGCCAATTTAATGCTATAACTTTAAATAACATTGTTTTTTTTTCCAGAGTACAAAGGCATTGTGTACGCGGGGTTTGTTTTGTACGGGTTAATGATAGCAGCTTCCCTCATCCTGATTCCGGGGGTACAGTTGGTAAGTGTGATAGGGGGAGGGGGTTAAATCCTGTTCTTATAATCTCCCCACTCCTTCAGAGTACACATTGAAAAATGCTGACCACGTGCGCACAATCAAATAATTTCATCATCAGAATAATGACGCTGAAAATCTTTAAATCTTTTGGAGCCGAGGGGATGCTATACAGTATATTATCCGAAGTATTTTTTTTTTTAATAAAAAACTTTCTTCCTAACACTGTCTTTAAAAAACTACACTTTTAATTAAGAAATGGAGTTTTAATTTTCTTGTCATAAAAATACCTTTATGCTGATGACATGGTGTAGCTCCGAGCACGAGAAGGTTTTCTGTGGAGATATCTCAGGCTATACCTCTAATACAGACACAACAGTGTAACCAGATTTCCAAGTACTGATTAATTCTTCTTAGCTGGAGCCATGATACTTCAAAAGAGATATATTATATTGTACTCATTATGTACACATGCATCATTTTAATGAGCATTTCGAAATGTTTAAATTTAAACTGGTGAGAGTACTAAATAAGGAAAACAACTTAAAAAAAATTTTCCAAGTACTTTTTTTTTTTATTAATGAGAAACATTTATTAAGTTTGTTAATGCTGACCTACAAGGCCGGTTAAAGCAAGACACTATTAAAAACATTTGGCATAAAGAAGATTTAAAATGTATATGTTTAATTTAGGGGGAAAATTAATAAACATATAGTATAATGACCTCTTCAAAAAAGTTACAAACTGAACGTACAACAAACTTTAAACGATCAGACACCCCCAATGAACAAGATATCGGGGGATATTTTTTAAAATTAAAATATGACGATTTTTTGTATTTATGACTAACTTTTATGTGTAGTATACAATTTTGTTGTTATCTTCGTTAATTTTGGATTCTGATCCATTACAGGACAAGCGCTATCTCCTGTTACCCTGGGTGTACGTCCTTATCCTCAATGTGTTATACGAGACAGGCTCCATAGCTCTCCTGACCACTGTCCATATGGAGAGAGAGAAAGTAGGTCAACTGACCAAGATATTATATCATCTATAAATTAATCAAATTGATAAAAAAATCGACCTTGTTGGTATTAAAAGTATATTGTGTGTACATGCATAATCCACTTGCATTTAATGAATGCACGTCACCTATTTTTGTTTTTACAGACACTTAATGCATGGGAGATAGTTTGGATGTTTTTCTACTGTTTTAAACTCATTGCAAATGTGAGTATTGAGAAAGCATAAAAGAATTAACAATTTATTTCTAGACTGACTGATATCCATTGCATTTTTAGAGTATAAGTGCTTTGCATGTCTGAACATCTTCAATTGTTGACTGTATTGTTGCTTCATTGGATGATAACCTTCGTTTGTTTATATGCTCAATGAGTATAGATGATGTCATTACTTTGAATATGGTTGATATCCCATGTTTGTTAACTGTGATATTCCTTTGATAAGATTGTCTGTTAACTGTGTTAATGCTTTGTATGGCTGATATCCTTTGTTTGTTAACTGTATTTTTCCTTTGTTTGGCGGATATCTGTTGACCTTGTTATTCCTTTGTTTAGCTGATATCCTGTGTTTGTTAACTGTGTTAATGCTTTGTATGTCTGATATCCTTTGTCTTCAGTGTTTTATTTTTAGTGCTGCTTTGTATTGAAGATATTCTCTGTTGACTGTCTTACTGCTTTGTATGTGAAGATATTCTCTGTTGACTGTCTTACTGCTTTGTGCTGCTGAAATCCCCTTTATACAACTGAAATCCTTGGTTTTTTAAGTGTTTGTCGCTTAGTACAGTTGAAATCCTTTCTTCGTTGTTTTTGTGATGGCTTTGTTGTTTGGTTGTTGATTTTGTTATTTTTTGGCGGAAAAATGTTTTGTTTGCAAATGCCCTTCTCCCTAGCTTTTTTGATATCCTTCTTTTTTGCCCTGTATAACTGAATATTTTTTTCATCACTTTGTCATTGATATTTATAACAAGTTAACTCTTTTACTGGTTTGAATATTTGAGAACATTTCCACTAATGATATAATTATTTTGTAATTTGATATCTCTTGTTTGATGATAGCCTTATTGTAAATATTAATATTTACTGATACTTTCCATGGTCTGTTGACAGTGCTACTGCTTCGCTTGCGTGGTCTCCCAGTACCAGGAACTTTCAGAAGGAAGAGGAACCTATGAATATTTATACAAACCTGTAAGTCACTTGTTCTGATTTTAGAATAATATTTGGACTGCTAGTTTTCATTATCATTTTAGGTACTTAAAATAAAGATTTAAAAAACGTATTATTTTATGAAATATATTTTGAATTTATTTTCATGCAGAGAAATCGTCGAGCCTTGGGAAGAGCGCGGGAATTTGACCTTGACACTTTTGAACTTCCGTTTGGGGTTCATCTCCCGCCATACTGTGAAACAGATCCGTGTAAAGAATTAAATCCTCCATTATACGAACAGTTATATCCGCAACCAAAACGTGAGGAGAGAAGACAAACAGGACTGTGTCATAATATACAAACAGTAGATTCACATTTACATAGACCTAATTATAATCAAAGATATTCAGGGGATCTCCCAGATCGGTATTCCATAACAGTTGATGTTGTTTGGATATGACGTCATCAATAACATTTGATGATTTCTGCCATAGGTGTTCTTTGTCATCTGTCTCCCGAGACATCCAATCTCATTACAGTGGAGCAAAGGAGTCAACCTTCGTTATTGCATTGGCAACATCGCATAACAGTGGAGCAAGAAAATTAACTCCGTGTTCTTGTACTGGAAACATTTCACCACATTGGAATAAGGAAGTCAACTCCGTGTTTGTATTGGCGACATATCTCAAAGGAGCAAGGGAATTAATTCTGTCATATTGTATTGGCGAAATATCACCACAGCGGAGCAAAGAAATCAACTCCATGTTATTGGCACTTGCTCATAAATTTCTACAATATCCTCCTCATTTTGCTCTTTCGAGTTTTGATTATTTTTCATTGTGAAGGAGGGAGAAATGCGTTTTTACAAAGACACGTGAAACCAGGGCTTATGTTTTATCCGTAGTTTTAATTTAACCAGATTGGTGCTTTTAATCACCTTTTAAGCTTTGATGGAGATGCGAGTACTGTCCACTGTTCTGGAACTTCCTCTGGTGTCATGATTTACCTTTCTACCTCAGGGATGTATTTATAAATATATATGTTGTAAAAAAAAATTCAATGTGCCAAAGATAATAAATATTACACGAGTTTCTGTTGTTAGTTTTTCTCACAGTTTTCTCTGGCACAGTATTGATTAATTATTTATTCAAAATCGAAGAAATATAATTGTAAAAAGAATAATATTGCTTCTCTCAAACTTGCAAAGTTATGCTTTCAAGATAATTTAATAAAACACTCCCTACCCTACTGTAAAATCAGGAAGATGTAAAGGTATTATTTGACATTGAACCACTTTTCTGTCCTTAATTTAAAGTTAAAATGTAACCTGGAGCAACACATTTTGAAGTTATAAGTATTCTCTTACTCGATAAAGAAACAAAACTGTCTTTCTGTTTACCTCCGTAGAGCAGAGAACGACATTGTCTTCAATTGTAATTCAAAGAAACTAGGATTCAATTCTACAAGTGGTAATCCAACTTGTACCTAAAAGTTCAATTTCTGAGGAAGAAATTTTGAAAACCGCATGTCAGTTTTTAAATATTTCTAATATTCCCAACGACCTAAATGAATCCAAATAGCCATACCTAAACTAATTCCAAAACTCCATAAAATCCTTACAAAGAAAGACACATTGCAGGCTACAGTAATGTTCAAATGTGAACCCTCTTTACTGCTCACTAAAATATTTACAGCAGTAAAGGAGGAACACATGGGAAGTACTGTACAACTGTATATTTTAGAAGTGATAAAAATCAGATGAAAATACTTCAAAAACCCTAAGGAACTTTTAGCAAATCTGAAATAAAATTATTTTTACCAAATCAATAAGAACAAAAACGTTCGACTTTTCAACACATTATACAACAATTCCTCATGATAAAAGAAATACTGAATTTTTGAAATCGTACTTGCTTTTGCAAAAAAAATGGTACCTAAAGAATATTAACCTTGTCATTTGCAAAATAATTTTGTCAAATGACATTCTTGTCATACTTTCTCTGAAGTTGACCCTAGAAAAGATGCTTGAGTTTCTGATTGACAATAGCTATGTGGATTTTAGAGGTCTTCTAATAATCTGTCTGAATTTCCACTGGTAACAATTGCACCATATTATTGTATTCACATGAAGAAGAATTTATTCAAAGTATTCTACATGAGAAGAATAACACACTGCCTTGGCATTCAACTTGACAATTATATTAATCGAGAATGTATTATCAACTAACAAAAGTAACTTATTCATATATTGACTCGATATAATATATCCCAGCAGAGACTTGTCCTGATGAGCTTGAATCAAAAGATACCACAGTCTGACACATCTGTTTCACATATGGGTATTTTACTAGAAATTAACATGAATGGTATTACAATCTAACAAAAAAACTTTTTCATGACCCCAACTGTTCAAAAGTAAATTTTCTTACTTAATACGAGGGGTGATCAAAAAGTTCGCGAACTATCTCTATATGATATATCTACAAAACCACAATTCAGATTAGCAAAAAAATTGGTACACACATACAGTGTAGCCATACACAAGTTCTATAAATAGCATATGCTGAATAAAGTTTTGCTCCTTGTTTGTGACGTCACAATGTGAAAATGACGTTACTATATAGGTCACTTCTGGCGAAAAATGGTTTTCTTTGTTCTACTCGTTCAACAAACGACTGTAAAATTTATGGTATATCTTAGAAATCCCTTTGAAGTAGCGTATATTAATTTGCACATAGTTTATTAAGACAAATGACTTTCTTAAAATTTAATCAACGACTGGATTGATCGTTTTAGTGAAGGAAGGCAGATGGTAAAAAATGATACTTGTTATATTTTGCACAGTGATAGCAAGTTTGAAAAGAGGTGTGTTTTTAATTAAGTATTTTGCTATCAATGACCTCCAATTTACGCTTTGAATATTTCAACAATAATATATTTATCAAATTCCTAAGATATTGTTTACTTTTGATTTTAAACATATTAGATATGATAAAAAGGAGGCACCCATTCTCTATCCACCTTGAATAGACGTCTCTCCCGAGACAGAAGATTTGGGTTTTGATGGTCGAGATGCTTATTCTTGGAAGGGATATTCTGATCCATCCATTCTGTTGCCGAGAATTTACCATTTTAGACAAACGAACTGTTCTTGTTGTAAAAATTAACTTACATGGAAAGAAATATAAAACTCAGAAAAACCTTTCAGCTTTTGTGACAGAACGTTACGGAGGAGGTCACGTGACCGCCTAAATCAAGTGATTCGCGCATGAGCAGAACAGTGGCAGATGTACATTAATATCAGAGAGGATTCATTTAGAATATAATCAACACTGAAACCAAATATTGTTTCTTTTATGGAAGTTATTCAATTAGTTCGCGAACATTTTGATCACTCCTCGTTTGTAGCAATATATCCTTATCAGGTGCATATGGAGTTTATGTTTCTTGGTTGATTCGGTACATAAGAGCATATTTTGCGCTTTGACAATTTCTAAAACGAGGCAAGCTATTGACAAACAAGTTGATAAAACAAGGATATCAAAAGCTTCATTTAAAGTCACCATTTTGTAAGTTTTATGGTCGATACAAATACCTTTTCAACAAATATTATCTATCATTCAGTCAAATGCTAATTGACTTTTCATACTTATTGTTAGACTATTATTTATACACTGAATTTTCTAAGGATTTTCTGTTTTTCCCATTCATGACAAGGAGCACACGGTGGGTATGTCTGGTCGGCAAGGGATACCCTCGCCTTCACGGCACCTGATCTAACCTCTGATGTTTTTGGAGGTCCCTGTTTGTTGTACTCTGTTGTTGTTCGTTATCTCCATATCTTATGCAAAAAAAGTTCAACGAACCATTTCTAGGTTCATAAATATGCTACATTCTTACTATTTTTATATTTCAAAAATTTCCGTTTTCATTCCATAGCAACTATAGCCAAAATGGAAGTTATAAACTTCAAAATTGGTAACAGAAGCATGAAGAGAATGTTCATTAATGCACTTGCGTTTGGATTGTTGACTATATTTTAAGAATCTTTCGGCTATATTTTATAATATTTTCACAGAATATCCTTCAGGCATTTTTTAAAATAATATTTTCTAGGGCCTCTGTCCGAGATAAAACTGCAAATAAGGTAAAAGTGTACTTTTATTTTTTTTTTCATGGAATCAAAGGTCAGTTTAAAATGTATATATACGAACAAATGTCTTGGGTTTTTTTATGCTGATTAATCAATTGCTCACGTGATAATTTTACGAATAAACGCCTTTTGGGACGTATGAAAATCATCACGAGAGTAAACTGATTGAACGCATCATTAAAAAAAAAAAAAAAAAAAAAAAAAAAAAAAAAAAAACTAAATAGTTATTACTAAATTATTAATAATTGAGTTGCGATTCTTAATCAATAGGGAAAATAAATGTCTTCTTAAGGACAATTTAGTTGAGTATACAGAAGGGAAGGATTTGGAGATAGCGAACAGTATTCAATATCAAACTCCATGGAGGGGTGAGCATCCCCTGCTGACCGGTGCAGTGTGCTCATTGTCATGATCATGAAATAACGAAAAAAAAAATCCGTCGTCAGTTCAGTGTATTAATAATGAACTAACGATTGGTAGGAAAACGTCAGTCAGCATTTAACTCAATGATAAATTGTATTTGCTGACAAGGTCATTGTATCGACCATAGAACTTACGAAATGATGACTTTAAACGAGACTGTTGATATTCTTGTCTCATCAACTTGCTTGTCAATAATTTACCCCCGTTTTAGAAATTGTTCATACGTAGAGCATGCTCTTGCGAATCGAATCAATTGAGATGTATACACTCCGTATGCAGGTGATGAAGGTATATTGCTGCATAAGTAAGGGAGGATGACGATAGAAAATTTAAAGTCGTCACGTTTATCATAAAGCTTTGTTGTTAGGTTACCATAAACGTCTTTTTCAAGTAAAATATCAAAGTATGAAACAGATGTGTCAGACTCTGTGGTATCTTTTATCTCAAGCTCTCCTGGATATATCGTATCGACGTAGGAATGGAAATTACCATTGTTGATTGACAATACGTCGTCGATATATCTGAAGGTCGAGCTGAAGGACACAGCAAGTATTTTCTTCTTTTCACGCATAAGATTTTGCATAAATTCTGCTTCATATGAATACAAAAATAGGTCTGCTAATAACGGAGCGCAATTGGTTCCCATGGGAATTCCAATAGATTGTTGGAAGACCTGGTCTCCAAAAACCACATAGATATTGTCAATCAGAAACTCAAGCATCTTCTTGATGTCAACTTCAGAGTACTTGTGTGTGCAATCAGAATCTTTTTTAACAAAATAATTTTGCAAATGACCAATGACCAGGTAAGTAAATTTACGAGTTCCATTTTTATTGAAAAAGCAGCTGTCAATGATATCAAAAAGCCTGGATTTTAATTTATCGTGGGGAATGGTTGTGTATAAAGTTGAAAAGTCAAACCTGCTAATGAAGATGAAAATACATTGTAAATACTTTGTCAAACCCCGTGATAAAGCTTAAAAAATAACTCATTTGCAAAATTACTTTTAAAAAAAAGAGAAACCATTCAGATTGTATATTCAAGTAGTCTGAGTTTGATATTTAAATGATGCTTGAGTTTCAAATGACAATATATATTATGTAGTTTTCGATATTGCGTCTACCAACAATCTGTCGACATTTCCATGAATACAGATTGCGTTATTCACAGAACTACTTGTGTTTTCATATGAAGTAGAATTTATTTAAAGAATATCATACATGAGAGGAGAAAAGACCCACTTCACCTCGATATAGATATAGATAAATCGACGACGTGTCAATTAGCAAAAGTAACTTCTATCCATATGTCAACTCGCTATATATCCCGGTAAACGTGATACAAAGTCTGACACATCTTTTTCATATTGAAGAAGCCGTTTGTATATTACAATAAAATGACTGTACTTGAATAAGCAAAAACGAAATGAAATTGAACAACAGAACTTTATAATGAACGTGATGACTTTTTCTAACTCCCCTTACTAACGTTGTAATAACTTTCGCCTATGATTCCAC